TCGTGTATGTGCTTTTTTACCACAGATGGCTTCATCGAATCGTCAAAATTCGTGTTCATGAATTCAACAATTTCATGAAAGTTTYGCGTGGTATCTTCTSTAMTTTACTACGGTTGGCTTCGTCAAATCGAGACTAAGTCAATCTTGACGATGAAATGGCGCCAACCGTGGTAAATTARAGGACATACCACGAGCAACTATCTATTCCTTGTTATCTAATGGCTTTTATGTTAATTCAAGGTATTTTAATTTGTTATGCATCTTTACAGCGCTTGGTTGTACAGGAGTTGTCAAYGATAAAGTCACAGAAGTTCTTCTATGGGCAATGCGATACGAGAAGGTACCCGCTGTACGTGCTGAGGCGTGTAACGCGGTCGCACAACTGAAAATTCGAGATGAGCGTATCTTATCCGTTTTACAAGACAGACTGGTTGTAGAGACTGATGAMCTGGTGAAAAGGTACAGTACAGGATCATTAAAGTAAAAAAATATATTCTTCATTTTCTTTTAATACTGAATGCTAATCGACTATCAAGTCCATGTACAATACATCTATGGCATAACCAGCTGAAAGTCATTATATTTCGTACTCTTGTTCAGTGACCACGAACGATGTATTGAACCGAGGAATCAAGGTGCAGTGAGCATAAAGRAAAGTTCTTGCTTAGTGTTCCTTGTCGCTTTGGTTCCTTGCKTTGTTTATGGCTCTGAGCCTTGGTACAGAAAGCCGTGAACTCAGTATAGCAATGTGTCTACGTCACAATGCTATCAATGAACAAATACATCTACGTCACAATGCAATCAATGAACAATCTACGTCACAATGCAATCAATGAACAAATTCATCAACGTCACAATGCAATCAATGAACAAATTCATCAACGTCACAATGCAATCAATGAACAAATTCATCTACGTCACAATGCAATCAATCAACAAATTCATCTACGTCACAATGCAATCAATGAACGAATTCATCTACGTCACAATGCAATCAATGACAAATTCATCTACGCCACAATGAAATCAACGAACAAATTCATCTACGTCACAATGCGATCAATCAAAAAATTCATCTACGTCACAATGCAATCAATGAACGAATTCATCAACGTCACAATGCAATCAATGAACGAATTCATCTACGCCACAATGCAATCAATGAACGAATTCATCTACGTCACAATGCAATCAATGAACGAATTCATCTACGTCACAATGCAATCAATGAACGAATTCATCTACGCCACAATGCAATCGATGAACAAATTAATTTACGTCACAATGCAATC